TTTAGACTTAGAGAAAAACAGAGCAAATTGTCAGCATCTCCCAGCTTCTGATTCTCTCTGTCTCTGTCTCTGTTTCTCTCTCTTTCTCTCTGTGTGTGTGTATGTCTTTGTGTGTATGTCTGTCTGTCTGTATGTCTATCTCTGTGTGTGTGTGTGTGTGTGTGTGTGTGTGTGTGTAGGACTGGGTCCCATTTGCTACCACAAATGCGCAAGGCCACATTTCTGGTTCCCAACAGCCCGAGGCTGAGCTCCGTCTTGGTGCTGGGTGTTAGTTCTGTGCCACTTGACAAATGCACCATTTCATATAAGGCAGCCACCGTTACAGAATCTTTTCAGCACTCCCCCAAATCCCCGGGATCAGGGAATGGTTATTATTACCAGTGTTTTTCCCTTCGCTATTATTTTAAATGACAGACTTGTCTTTATGAGTCCATTAAGTCTAGCTGACATTTATTGTGACTCCTCATTATGAAAGGCAGGAAAGCGATGGCTTTATCCTTTTCTAACTGCCCATATTTTGTTGTTATGGTTCAGGGGATAGAACCCAGGACCTTCTGTCTGTGAAACACATGCTCTGCCACTCTGCCAAAGCAGGTATTTTCAGGCATATTTATTTATTTTATTTTTGGAGGGGGCGGTGGCCCAAACTCATTGGTGCTCAGGGCTTACTCCTGGCTCTGTGCTCAGGGCTCACTCCTGGGTCAGATGGGGGGACCATCATGGGTGCTGGGAAACGTCAGCTGCCAGCAAGACAGCCATCCTACCCACTGTACTCTTGCTTTGGCCCTGATCTCATATTTTCTGACAAAACTGTGTGGGCCCAAAGGTTGCCAGAGATGGAACCTCACACCTGCCGGGTGAGCATACCCTCTAGCACCTAAATTGCATCCCTGACCTGCTGCTGCTTCCCAAGTTTTGCAGGTTGCATTACCCTGAAGTCACATCTTTCTCTCTATTTATGGAGGACCCGTGGTGTCGTATGGGGCAGCATTCTTGCCTCTGGAGCTCCTGGGGGCAGCCAAGCCAGGACCCTGGAGGCTTCTAAGAGAGAAGAGAGATGAATAGACCAGAAGTATGTCAAGAATTCCAGACAGTCGGATGTGTCCCTGTGAAAGGTCAGGGGAGCAAGGGGCCCAAGCAGGTGTGAGTGTGATGGACGGGGCAGGGTTAGATAGGGTGGCAGAGTGGGGCTTATGGGGTAGCTGACCGCAGAGCTATGCAGGAGGTGAGGAAAGGAACTGAGTGGTGAGCAAGGCCCTGTGGAGGGAGCTTTGCCTCATTGTTGGGATGGCCAGGCGTGGGGGCGGGGGAGGAAGAGGATGAGGGAGGTCACGGGAAGCCATGTGACCCCAAACAAGAGCAGGCCTGTGGCCCACTCCCTCCAGCTTTCCTGAGAGGAACTCATGGGGGCTCTGTGCATCGCATACCCAAGGAGCCGCATCCTCCTCCTTTGTTCATCTTACACATTTTGGGGAAGGGCTGGAGAGTGGGAAGAGCACTTGCCTTGCATGTGGGAGCAGTGCCGAATGTGGCCCCCAAACCAAAACCTCGAAACTTTTTTTTTTGCTTTTTGGGTCACACCTGGCGATGCACAGAGGTTACTTCTGGGTCTGTGCTCAGGAATTACCCCTGGCGGTGCTCAGGGGACCATACGGGATGCTGGGAATCGAACCCGGGTCGGCCGCATGCAAGGCAAATGCCCTACCCGCTGTGCTATTGCTCCAGCCCCCCGAAACATTTTGAGGAGATGGCTCAGTAGAAGAATACACGTGGTGGGCCCTGAGTTTGATCCCCAGCAACACATTTGCCCCGGCCCTCCCCGGCATCATATCTCTGGCTGTAGCCTTGGTAATCCAGGAACCTTAGCAAGCCCTGACTCCCCTCGAGGCACTGCTAAGGATGACCCCACTCAAAGACTTTTGGGGGCCGTGTCAATATACATTCCATGATGGCAGTAAAATGATCTCCTATGCTCATGGTTTTCCTATCGACTGAGTCTGATACTCCAGGCCCACACAACAGACTTTCACATTGGGTTAAGTATATGTTGCAGGAGGCAGAAGCAGAGATGCCAGCGCGTGCTTCCCTGGGGCGTGCTGTCCTGAAGAGCTTGGAAGGACCGAGCACAGCTCAGCTTCCCACTGGGGAGAGGAGGGAGGAGCTGGCCCCAGGCCGCACCCAGGGCACATTCTGTCCAGGCCTTCCACCTAGAGTCAACAAGTCCCTGAGAAGTCAGCTCCCCCAGGGTCCCAGCCAATTGCCCCAAAAAGGCCTTGGACACATCCATTCCCAGGAGTGGTGTAGGGTAGCCTGGCAAGAAGGTCACGCCAGCTTCAGCCCCCTGCATGCTGGGATGGCCCAAGTAACTCGATCCGGGACCAAGTCTCTCCCAGATGGGGCTGCCAGGCAAGAAGCCAATCCTGGGGAAAGGTTCTGAATGAATCATCACCCCAGACCCCGGGGCGTGAGATGGAAGGCCAGGACTGCCACAGTTCCAGGGCCACGGGGGAGACGGTGTGCTGGGAATTAGATGTTTACTCTTCTAGAATAGAATCTGCCCTTCTGACTTTCCTCCAATGACTTCTTCACCCACTTCCCTCGCCAGCTCATCTTCTGTTGCTTTTGCCAGATCCAGAAGTCTGGTACCCCTCCCGCCAGTAACACGGAAAGGAGTGGATGACAGAGAGGCACCTCCTAGGACCTCTGTGGGCTCAGATGCTTCTGCAGAGGCAATGTGGCATCACCTAAGGATCCCAGAGCAGGCAGGAACGTGGTTTGAGTGTTCCCTCACATCTTACATGCGCGAGGCTCCGGCTTTCAGCCCAGGCACAGGTGCATGGGTCAATAATAACACAACTCCAGGTCAATAATAACAGTTTTTAAAAGATGTTGGGTCCTCTTAGCCATCCGCACGCTCATCCCAGCCTTGCCATTCGCAAGGCTCTGTGACCTCATCCAGGTTGCTGGACCTCTCTGATCTCATCTTTCTCCTGAGCAAAAGAGCACTGAAAATAGCATAAGTCATGCCTGTCTATCCTGAGACTCCAGACCAACAGATAGGGCTCTGCGGAGTCTAAGGACCAGTTGGGAATGGGGCTGGAACTGGAAGGGGACAGCAGGGAGGCCCAGGGCAGAAAGGTGAGAGGAGGTAGGCCCTGACTCTGCCATGGAGCACTTTGGGTTGAGTGGGGCTGTGCCAAGTTGGTGCCCAGGAGATTCCTGTCAAGATTACAAATGGCAAGACAGGGTAAGGTCCTGGGGTTCCCTAGCAGGGTTGTGGACACCCAGCACCGCCCCCCCCCCCCGTGGGGCTCCAGGGATTCCTTCTGGGCGTCGCTGCCCAGTCCTCTCCCGGAGGGACACTTTGTATCCGTGCCCCCGTGGCCAGGCTGGAGGGGTGTGGAATGCCTTGTCCTTCATGCATGTGGAGGGGAAGGCACTTTCACTGGCCACACAGGCCCCTTCTTATGCCCGCTAGGCTGTCTGCACCACTGGGCAGGAGACTGGAAACACAGGGTGTGGGTACAAAGAGGTCTTATTACTGGTATTATTACGTATCATTATTCCCATAATAATCTATTATTAACATGTCCATGAATAGGCCCTTGAGAATCTGTGGGCCTGAAGAAGCTGACCGTGATGGGGGCAGAATTTGGGCTTAGGAGAGCTGTGGTCCGGAGCCGGAGGGGCTCAGGCTGGGGTTGCCACTCTCCTCTAAAGACAGTCATGGTGGAGGGGGAGCCCTCACGGAGACCCCGTATTGGCAGGCCCTGTCCAGGCCGGCTCACAAGCATTATTTGACTTATTTCATCCCAGTCACTCCAGGAGAGGAAAACCGCATGTCCCCCTGGACAAGCGGGCGATGGGAGGAGGAAAATAAACTTACACAGGGTGGCCAGGGCATGGCCATGGGAGAAGGAGCTGAGGCTGGCTCAGTGCTGCAAAGCTGAAGCCTCTCCCAGAAGGCCCTGGAAGCAGAGAAGGGGGTGGGGCTGCCTTCTCACGGGCTCAGGGTCTGGGGAGGACCAGGAGGAGGAGGGGTGAGGGGCTCACTCCCCAGGTACGCAGGTGCCCTGGGCCCGAGCCAGGGGTTTCTGCAAGTGGTGCCAAGAGCATCTCCAGGCCTCCGTAGGATCCCGCCTTCTCCCCTCCTCTCCCCCCCTCCCGTTTTTCCCAACGGATGGGGGTGGGGGGGGGGTAGAGCAGCTGGCGGTGGTTCCCCTCTTGGGCCCCAACGGTGACATCTGCCCAGGGCGGAACAACCCCAGAGAGGTTGGCCCCCTTCCCCCCCCCCCCCACGCCCCGACTCCAATATCATTCTCAATATTTCTCACATTGCACAATGCCCAGGCGAAGCGGGCCAAGCTAGGAACCAGGGGCAGAGACTTGGGGACGGGGAGGAGAGGGGTCGGGGGGGCAGGGCAGGGCCGCGGTGGTCTGGGACGCATCCAACAAACAGCGCTCTGAGCCCACCGTGCGAGTCCTAACCGGTGGCCCAGCGCGACGACCGCGGGCCAGCTCCCCCCACTTCTAGGAGGTGTCCCCCTCCCCCGCCCCCCTCGCGTCCAACCAAGCCCTAGAGGAGCCGCCGCCGCCGCCGCCGCGGTTCCCAGCAGCGGCCGGTGGCAGGCCAGGAGGCCGGGGCTGTTGGGAAAGGTGCGCCCTGGCAGTGCCAGTCTCCCCGCCCGCGGCGCGGCGCCTGCAGCGGGTGACGAGTCGCGGCCCCGCCTCCCGGGCCCTGCCCGGGCGGGTGCGCGTTGCGGAGGGGAGGGGAGGGCAGGGCCCGGGAGGGGAGGGCCGGCCGGGGCAGGAATGCGGGGCGGGCGGGCGGGCGGCGCAGCAGGCGAGCGGCGGAACATGTAAGGGCACATCCCGCGAGCTGCCGCCCAGCGCGCACACCGAGCCCAGGGCGCGAGCGAGCGGGCGAGCGAGGGAGCGGGCGGGCGGGCGGGCAGCGGGGCTCTCGCGCCGGGCAGCGGAGCGGCGGCGGAGCGGGCGGGCCGCGGGGTCCCCGAGGACAGCGGGGTCGCGGGCCGCGGGAGGGCCAGCGCGCGCGCGGGCAGCGGCCCCCGGGCAGCCTCTGCCGCTGCGTTCCCGGGACCTCGGGGCGCCCATGACGGCGGCCACGGTGCTCAAGGAGGGCGTGCTGGAGAAGCGCAGCGGCGGGCTGCTGCAGCTCTGGAAGCGCAAGCGCTGCGTGCTCACCGAGCACGGGCTGCAGCTCTTCGAGGCCAAGGGCACGGGCGGCCGGCCCAAGGAGCTCAGCTTCGCGCGCATCCGGGCCGTGGAATGCGTGGAGAGCACCGGGCGCCACATCTACTTCACGCTGGTGACGGAGGATGGCGGCGAGATCGACTTCCGCTGCCCCCTCGAGGACCCCGGCTGGAACGCCCAGATCACCCTGGGCCTGGTCAAGTTCAAGAACAAGCAGGCCCTCCGCTTCGTGGGCTTGCGGCAGAACCTGTGCCAAGACTCGCTCCTGACCTAGGCTGCCAGGGGTCCGTGAGCCCCGCGGCCTGCGGCGTTGGGTAAGGCTGGGGCCCTGAGTCCCCCTCCCCCCCTCCTCTTTCTCCTCCAGAGACACCCACAGCCTTGATGTGCTCCTTCCAAAGCGGGCCACCTGGGGCTGGAGAGATAGTGCAGTGGGTTGGACATTTGCCTGGCATGTGGCTGATCTGGGTTCAATCCCTGGCATTACGTATTGTCCCCCACTAGAGTAATTCCCGTGTGCAGAGCCAGGAGTAACCCCTGAGCACCCTCCACCCCCAAAGAAAGAACAAAATTGTTCAGCCTGGGACCAACAGCAACTCAGATGTTGGTATCTCAGCTTGGGGGTAGGGGGATGCTGGTTGGGGGATAGATAGATCCAGGGCCAAGAAAGGAACTTTCCCTTGGGGTGCCAGGCTGCGGAGACCCTGGCTTGGGGAGGATGGGGATGGACTGACCTCCCCTAGCCAGTTGGGTCTGCTCCGACTCCAGTGGAGGCTGGCTGGCACATGGCCTCCAATGTCTGGGCCTCTACCCGGACCGGGCCCAGCTCCTGGACTTACTCAAACATGGCTGGGACTTGGCCATCCTGCTAGGAGGGACATTGTCCTAGGGACCTTTGCTCCTGGAACTAAGTCAGTTTGTAGCCGCTCTCAGCTCATGGCCACGGGGGTGTGGGGGCTGTGGGGGGGGTGGAGAGGAAATAGGACCAAGACCCCTCCCCTGTCTCCCCCACTCTGGGGCTCCGCCAGAGGGCTTGGCTAGGCCCCGGGGCGCTTCTGTTCATTCTTCACTGTGGGTTTGGGCCTTCAGCTGAGCTGTTGGCAGAGCAGGGGTGCTGGAGGGTGGTCAGGCCTGGCCAGTAGCCAGGCTGCTGATGCCAAGGGGGGTGGGCTGCCTGCCTGGTCCCGGGTACCAGCCAATGCCAGCTGGGCCTCCTGGAGAAGTGGGCAGTGGAGGCGGGGCCCTGGGACAAAGTGGGCGGACGGGTGCAGGATGGGGTCAGGATTGGGTAGTGGGGGGAACTTCCGCCTCCCTGAGCACCAGGGCAAGGGGGCAGAGGGTGGATTTGTGGGCACCAAGGCCCAGGGGAGGGACAGGAATAGAACCTCGAAGCCCTGGCTCCCAGCCCTATGCCCTCTTCCCTAATACCACGCCTCCCTGGGGCTGTGCCAAGTGGGGTTACCTCTCCACCCCCGCCCCCATCTCCCGTACTGCCTCACCCACCCTGCCTGGCAGTGCCCTGTGCTCCCCCCACCTTCCTCCTGGAGATGGCTCAGTGAGGCCAGAACCAGCCAGGAGAGAATTCAGCCCTCTGTGCTGCCCATGTGCACCAAGCACGGTTCCGCAGCTCTGCCAGCAAGGACGCCTGGCACCCCACAGGGCGTGCCACCTCTAGAGCAGAGCCAGTGTGTGTGTGTGTGTGTGTGTGTGTGTGTGTGTGTGTGTGCGTGCGCGCGTGGATGAGCCCTGCACCTCAAGTGTGTCATGCCGGAGAGCAGCCCGGTGTGTGTGCAAGCACCACGTTTGTGTGAAAAGTTGAGCAAGGCTATGAAGGGGAGAAAAGCGGGGAGAGGGGAGCAGAGAAAGGAGTAGCCCCCACATCGAGCCTCACTAATCCCCAGAGTTACTGCTGTGTGGCAGAGTGAGGGGGGCTGGGCTGAGAATCCCCCCCGCCCAAGTCTCTTGGAGCGTTTGGGAGCAAGCAGCCCCCTTTGACTGGTGTCTTGGCAAACGCTCTTCTGTGTTTGTCCCAAGCTGGGAATATTGGCGAGCACTGGGATTGCTCTGGAATCTCCTTTCCACTGCCTGCTCTCACCGCTGCTCTTTCTTGCAGCTTTCCAGTCCTTTCTGGCACGCGGGGCCCCAACTGTCGGGCACAACGGAGGCCACAGACACGAAGAGGCGGTGTGGGAGCTGGAGGAGTAGACAGAGCCTGGAGAGAAGGGTCGAAGGCTGTGAGGGGCTGAGGATGAAGATTCAGTCCCCACTACTCCCAGACTCTTGGACATGCCCAGCTCGGGGCCTGGCCTCCCGGGCCGTGGAGGGAGTTGGCATCACTGTGCCCTTGCCCGGCAGCCCTGCCGTCTACCCTGCGGACTGTGTTTCATCCCGGGCTCGGTGCCATGTCCGGCAGAGGCCTGGGGACTCAGGAGGCCAGCTGGGAGCTAGAGGAGGAAGTACCCCAGAACATCTCCCCCCCTCTGGACTCACCGTGGTGGAGGGGAGCTGGTGGGCCTCATGCCCACACTTGGGGGTCTCCTGCTGCTTCGGTCTTTCTGGGACCCCCCCAGCCGTGCGGGCCCTCTCTTTGCACACTCTTACCCTGCCTCCTGCCCTCTTCCCTCCCCTGCAGTGCTAGGCCTGGAGGTGGTGGGTGGGGGTTGGCCATTACCATTTCATGCCTAGCCCCAATGAAGTCGCCTGCCAAGGGCAGTGACCACACCGTTCGCTGAGTGAGTTTCTTTGTCTGACAGACGTCGCTCTCCCTGCCCGCGCATTCTGAAATCACCAGCCTGTTTGGGATGGGAAGACGCCACAAGCCCCAGGAACAAAAATTTTTGTGATTCTAGGAAGGAAGGGTGGGGAGTGGTCTGGACAAAGATGAAGCTGGCCACCTGGGGAGTGTAGAGGCCTGGGCTGGGGAAGGATGCTGGCTGGGCTGGGCTGGGCTGGGCTGGGAGTGGCTGCCACTGGGTGGAACCCCCTTGTGGCTGGGGCCTCCTGCAGGTGCCTGATCTCTGCTCTCCTGCAAGGCGGGCAGGCAGGCCTCATCCCTGGGGAGCAGGAGTAGGCTGCCCCGAGTTACTCAGGAGCTAGGAATCTGGGCACCCCCGCCCTGGCCTCATCTGGGTCAGTCATGCACCCCTCTCTGGCCTGCTCGAATGCTCTGGAAGGAGGCAAGGCTGAGCGCCTGTGCCGACAATTTGATGTCGATTCCACGACCCTCTTTGTGTTTCTAGCCTGCTCGGCTCGCATCCGATTCCTCCTGCCGTCCACTGGTCCCCCCGTGTCCTCTGTCCCAGAGCCCAGGCCTCGTGCCTCTCACTCAGGAACACTGTCTTGCTGTGACTAAGAGTTTACGTTAGGGATGCCTGGAAACAGCACAGCGGGTAGGGTACCTGCCTAGCGTGCACCCAACCCAGTTTCTGTTTCGGAACCATGTGGTCCCCCAAACCTTGCTGGAGGCCCCCCACACTGCAGGGGTGACGCAGGGGTCTCAACACCGCAGGGCCCAAGCAGCCTCGCAGTTTCAGACCCTTCGCTGAGCCAGTGGCCCCGTTTGGTTGAGAATCGTTCTCGGGGCCCCTGAGTACCACTTGGGAGGCCCCCAAGGGGGGAAAAAGAATTTACCAATTAGGAAGGAATGTTTACAAATAGCTCTTATTATCTCATTAGGCTGTGTGCCCGGTCCTGGGAGAATGCCATCCTGCACAGAGATAAGCCTTCCTGTTCCCTGCCCCTTGGTGCCGAGGAAACCTGGGGTCCTCCGGAGCGGTGTGTCCCAGAGTGGGTGATACCCCGTGGGAAATCTGGAACATTTCAGGAGGCAGTTGGAGCCTCGAATGAAATGGGGGGAAGGTGTGTGTGTGTGTGTGTGTGTGTGTGTGTGTGTGTGTGTGTGTGTGTGATTACTGTTTGTTCACCTTAAGGAAGGTAGATTTCCAGGAAAGTGCTGAGTAATTTTTTTCTGAAAAGGGGCGGGGAAGTCATTAAGTTTGGGATCCTCTGAGCTCTAATGCTGTGGTCAGTGGGACGGGCAGCGTCACTTACTTTTGGGGTCGGGGAAGAAAAAGATGGTGTTTGTTCTCCTTTCTTTTCTCTTCTACCTTTTGGTTTGAGGGCCATGCTCGGCCATGCTCACGGGTTACTCCTGGCTCTGCACTCAGGAATTACACCTGTCAGGGCTCCAGAGACCATATGGGGTGCTGGGGATCAAACTCAGGTCCACTGCGTGCAAGGTAGTTGCCCTACCCACTGTACCATCGCTCCAGCCTTGCACTTCTTTCTTCAAGGCAAGTTTCTGGGGTCAGGAAATAGCTCGTGTCTCTCTTCTGGCTCACCTCAGAATTTCAAATGGACTCGGCGCTTGCATCAAACCCGAAGGGGACGCCGGTGGGGATCTGGGTATAGATGGTGGACAGACGGATCTAGAAGGGGACACACATCTCCCGCAGCAAATACACCCAGCACCTCTCTCTCTTTTTTAGATTTTTATTAGTGAAACACCATGAGGTAAAGTTGTGGACTTACGAATTTTTGTGCTTGGTTTTCAATTATACAATAATCGAGTACCTATCCCTCCACCAGTGCCCATTCTCCACCACCAATGATCCCAGTATCCCTCCCACCCACCCCCCATCCCCCCCATCCTACCCCACCTCTGTGGCAGGGCACTCCCTTTTGTTCTCTCTCTCCTTTTAAGTGCTGTGGTTTGCAAAAGAGGCATTGAGTGACAATCATGTTCGGTCTATAATCTACTTTCAGCATGCATCTCCCCTCCTGGGAGGATCCTCCCAACACCCTTTATTTGGTGCTCCCTTCTCTATCTGAGCTGCCTTTTCCCCTAGCATATGCAGCTGGCCTCCAAGCCATGGAGTAAACCTCCTGGTAGTGGCACTCCATGGAAAGTATCATGCTAAGTGAAATGAGCCAGCACCTCTCTTGTGGCTGTGCTGTGCTTGGCTCTGGGGCTGTGGGCACAAAAGAGCCTCCATCTGATCCTGTCCCAGGAGCACCACACACAGAGTCAGTGTCCTTGGACCCCGTGGAGACCTGCAGAGCCAGGCTCAAGCAGCTGGGCCAGCACCGGGCACTTTGAGCTCAGCTCTGTGTAGGCCAGAGCAGAGCTGGGAAGATCATTCTGGAATTTTATTTTAATTTTGTTGTTGTTATTGTGGGCCACATTCCTGGCTTACTCCTGGCTCTGTTCTCAGGGATGACTCCTGCCAGGGCTCAGGAGACCATGAGGGGCTCTCAGGATAGAACCCAGGTTGGCGCGTACAGAGCAAACACCCTCTGTACTGGCTCTGCAGGCCTTGTTCTGGAATGTGGCTACCAAGGTTGGGGGTGGGGGAACATAACCAGTGGGGGTGTCTCGAGGGCAGAGGTGACCCAGGGTGGAGGGGAAACTCTTTTGGGGAGCGCTCCGCCTCCTTGGCTCCGAGCATGCCTTAGTTCCTGCCTGAACCTGGCCTCGGCAGCTACCTCAGCCAGGCAAGTCCTAGCCCCTCTGAGTGGTGTGTTTCCTCTTGAGGCCCTAGCACAGCCCCTGTGCCTAAAAGCCCCCCCCCCCCCAGCCCCTATAATGTGCTTACACCACTGACCGTGAGCCCCGTGGAGATGCCTGCAGGCTCCAAGCACTCCCTCACCCCAGCAGTCCAGAGTGCACCCCACCCCCCAGCTCTTCCTACAGATGTGCACCCCTTGGAGTCACCTGTTTCTGCTGGGGAAGGGGGCATCTGCATCTTGCGTTTAAGGGCACCCTCCCGGCTGACCATCCCGAATTCCCGAACTAGAAGCCTCCTCTGCCTCAACCAGGGGCTCTTGGGCCAGTCTTGGCCTGGCTCACAGACAGGGGTCAAGGCCTTTCTGGGGGCACAGGCAGGCCCCGACAGTGCTCACAGACATGCATGAGATGGAAACTCTTTGCTCAGCTGGGCCCGAGGACGCGGTCAGGCCAGGGAGGGGCCCTCTCGCTGCGCGGGCAGCCCAGGCCTCACCCCGCTTGCCACATGAGTCATGGATGGGAAAATGAGCGAGGCAAGTCCCTGCCGAGCCGCGGGGAGTCCGACGAGGCCAGAGGCAGGGAGCCGCGGGGAGAAGGGCTGGGCTCGCCTGGTCAGGGTGAGCTGGGGCTGGGAGCTGGTGCTGGCAAGAGCGAGCGTGACGTTGAGTGTGGCTGAGTTCCAGCAGGGCAGGCGGGGAGGCCCCGGACTCCCGGCACGCTGAGTTCTCACCCTGACATCTGACTATGCCCACGACTAGCCGAGGAGTAGGGGCCAGGGGCAGTGCCCCCGCTGGGCAGAGCACTGGGTCCTGGCCGAACTGCTGGGTCCCGTGACCAGAGGCTGCTCTGAGCGCTGGTCCGACTCCTGCCGAGATGCGTTTCATCCCTAGGCTTACAACTAACTCCACAAGCATCCCCACTGCATAGGAGGGAGAAACCCTTGTGCACGGGGCGTTCTTCCAGTCTGGGCCCTTTCCGTATTTGCCTCCCGTTGTCCCCACCGCTGGGCGGCTGTACCCGCTTCCCGCGTTTTCCCACTTCCCTGCTCCAGCCTCGGCCCCGCCCACCCCTCCTCCACCTTTGTCCCATTGGCTCACTGCCCCCCAAGACCCGCCCCCCTGAGCTGCCGATTGGCCTCACTGAGTAAGGGCTAACTTTTCATTTATTTATTTGTTTGTTTTTTTCGGGGGCTACACCCCATGGTGCTCAGGGCTTCCTCCTGCCTCTGTGCTCAGGGATCACGCCCGGAGGGGCTCAGGGACGATCTGGGGTCTCGGGGATTAAACTACGGTCGTTCTCGTGCGAGCGGCCTGACCAACTGCACTATCACGCTAGCCCCTTCACATAGGTTCTGGACAACAGAGGTAGTCAGGCAGAGGGTATACAGAGTTCTCCCTGAGCCAGGCACTGGCCTGAGAGTGGTACCATGACCGGATCCTGCCAGCCTCTACCCTGTGGGGTGGGTGCTGTTAGTACAGCACCCGCAGCGCTAGGGATGTGGCTCAGCTGCATAGGCTTTGCTGGCGTGAGACCTGGGTTCTAGCCCCAGCAAGGCAAGACAAGGAAGGAAGGATGGAGGGACGAGGAAGCGGAAGACCAGAAATGTCCATGGACTTATTTGGAGTTCCAGAGCGACACGGTGCTACTCCATAGGTGGGTTCCAGGTAGGTGTTCTTTATTCCACGTACATTTGTTTTAATTTTACAATTGTAAAATTGTTATTTTAAAAAATTGAATCATAATTTATGATTATGTATGAGCTCCTTTTCTTCTTCCTTCCTTTTTTCCTCCCTCCCTCCCCCTTCCTCCCTCCCTTCTTTCCTTTCCTTCCTTCCTTCCCTTCTTCCCTTCCCTTCCCTTCCCTTCCCTTCCCTTCCCTTCCTTCCTTCCTTCCTTTCTCTCTCTCTCTCTTTCATTCTTTGGTTTTGGGGTCACACACAGCAGTGCTCAGGGCTTACTCCTGGCCTGTACTCAGGCATCACTCCTGGTGAGCTCAGGGGACCATATTAGGTGCTGGGGATTGAACTCCCAGTCAACCACATGCAAGGCAAGCACCCTTCATGCTGTATTATCTCTTTGGCCCTCGTGATTGAGTTTCCGGCTTACAGTGTTTCAACACCAATCCCTTTACAGTGTTCACTTCCCTCCACCAATGCCCCCAGTTTCCCTCTCACCCTCCAACCTGCCTCCA